ACTTCCATCTCTTTCCTGAACAGGAAAAGTGGCTAGGAGGGCAGAGGTTTGAGACTAATGACGATCTTCAAAACAACGTTAGGGTTCGGCTCAGGTCATTGGTAGCAACATTCTATGACAAGGGGATGGAAAAGCTTTATGCAAGTTTTTGATGCATTATATTTGCTATTTGGTTATGTCAATGTCTATGTTAGAAGTTTGCAGCTCTTTGTGATGCATTATATATTTTTGTGCATATAAATGACATTTCCTACAAGTATTGTCTGTAAGCATCATGTCTTTTAAAATGTGCTTTCTGAAACCTTTTGCATTTATGATCTGGTCTTGTTTGACACTCATAAACCCATTACAGGTATATCTCGTATTACGTCATTCTCAATTATACATCATTTGTCAGAAAAATATATAGAAAAATAAAAATCAAGTATAAGTCATTTTATTGAACTTTGTCTGTCCGCTACAAATATTGAAATCATAATATCACTAGAAAAGTGTTAAAAGCACATAAAATCATATTAAAATACATACATTTAGAGTAAATGTTAATAATCATCATAAATCGTAGAGAACGAAATATGAAAACATATGTGACTCTGTTGTCATCTTATTTAGCAGCCTTTAAGAGCTCAATATTGGCATTTTCCATGGTAGTTCCAATATCTACTGTTTAATAACTGTATTTGTTATTTAACCTTACAAAATCATCTAATTGTATAATGTCTTAGAGCAAACCCCATTCACAAATAGAGTCCATGATGTACTGTAAGCATCGCCAAATTGTAAACATGTATATTTACAAGTATGTACTGTACATACTGTACATGGTATTCGTAAATTTAGATTACTTTTTTCCCGTACTATAATAAAAACTAAAATTTATTTGTTTGAAAGCTTAAAATAGGTTCTTATTAACCATATATTATTAAAAATGCATTTATAAATAAAATACAGAGCTGGGAATGGTTATTTGCAGTTTAGCCTAGTGACAATTAAATTTGGAGACAAGTAAATTCGACTTAAGTTGCCTCTCCTGGAACCAATTATTGTCATAAGGCGAGGTATACCTGTATTGAATATTATTTAATATATATATATGTGTGTGTAATGTTTTATAGAAATTCATATTTCATATTGTCATGATGATTAATGTGTATGCACTATATAATAATAATAAGCATAAATAACAGATAGTATTAATCTGATTTTAATTAGCATAACAATAAAATTCTGTAACATTTTGTATAAGGTGTATCCAGAAAAAGTAAAAACTGGTGGGTGAAAAAAAAGGTTTATTAAATATAGTATAATATATTGATACATTAAATAAGTTCTGCACACAATTATCACATTAATTAAGCATTTGTTTTATCATTAAACCAACTTTTGTGTTTTCATTGGAAAAAGTTGCTTCAATATATTTCCACTAGTATCAGACATTTTATTTTTTTCCTGATTTCTACTTTTCTATTTAGGAGATTGCATTTGATTATGCAAAAGGAAAAATAAAATGATAAACATTTAGAAAATACTCGCTACTTCACAGAACATATTAAATTTTGCCATCAAAATCAAATACCATAAAATGGACTGCAAGGTTCAAAATGTTAATAAGAAACAATCCTTGTACCTGTTTAATTTTTTTTTTAATTATTATAATAAAAAAATTTAACTAGAAATGCCAATACTGGACTTCCTGACTACAAACAAAAATATAATAATAAAAACAACAATTACTATAAAGCTCAATGTTACAATTTCAGTTCAGTAATTATAACATTACAATTGATTCTTAGTAAAAGTTACAAATTATAATTATTCAAAATCTCAAACATTTAACGAACCTAGCAAAATAAAAACCCTTTGATTAAGGGTTTTTCTTTTGCTAGCACTGATAACTTACAATTTAACAGCTTATGTTGGCCAGCGGAATCTGTTAGAAAATTTTCTGTTTAGAAATCTGTTTAGAAAATTCTAAATAATTTTTACTTACTTTTGTAAATGTGACTACAATATTAAATTAGTGAGATGCAATTTTATTCACTGTTCAAATCTTACTATGAAATTATGCAAATGAAGCTCTCTAGTTTGGAAGTGTGAATAGCAGTTGAGATTTAACATAACATAATCCCCAAAACTCAAAAACATTGGAACAATAATAATGTAAGTGACTTAATACAACTATAAATCAGCTTTTCTCTCACTACTTCACAGAACACATTTTTTTAAGACCATGTTGTTAATGTATGACATTAGTGAACTCAATAAGTGTTCAAATTATTGAAATTGGAAGAAAAACCAATTTTCTCAAAACAAAAAATACTTTTTTATTACATATTATTATGTTTAAGCTTACTTTCTAGTAGTTGACAATTCAAAGCTATTATTTATTGTAACATAAAATAAAAAATTGAGAATAACCTACTTGGAGTAAAGACTTCTAACTGGTATTTTTTAAAGATAAACATAGTAGAAGCTTTGTTTAAACACTATTTAAAACCGTGTATTAAAAATATTAAGTATTGTTTTAACAATTTCTAATGTGTTAAAAATATCAAATGTTATCCCTCTTAATTTGAAAATTGTTTAAGATATTATAGTATACAGATTACATTATTATTCTGATGGATTAAGACACAGAGATGTATCTGAATCCATCAAAAAATTTGCATATATAAACTATGTACTAAAATAAGTAAAGTTGTAATAGACATGGATCTTTGAAGTACCTATTTTAAAAATAATCTCAGTTTTTGAGGGAGAATTACTTCAGTGGATGTAGGATGATCTGTTAACTGAAACTGCAAAAGTTTTATTGCTTTTAGGAGTTATGCTTACTAGAAGTTTTTTATTTATTTTAGTATGCAGTTTATGTATGAAAATTTTCTAATGGGTTCAGATGTACCCTGTATATCTTGCATAGAAGAATATAAAATAATTACCATTAACTAATTACAAGTTTCTATTCCCCATTTCTCATTTATACTGTATAGAGTACTAAAAGATAGTGTAATTAATATTGGTTATATGGGAATGAGAAGAGGGAAAGGAAAGTTATTAGGTGGGTTAAATAAATATGCAGCTAACTTAAATATCCTAATGTCTACAAAAATAAATATTAAAAATATACCTGTGACATTATTGAAAAATTAGAATGTGAAGAAAATTGAAAGTCATGTTAACTATAAAATGTCAGGAAAATAAGAAATTTAGGATTAGAAAGTAAGGGAGATGGAACGTGATTTTAACTTGGGACCATGGTTCTTGAGATGAAGAGACAAGTTTTAATCATCTGATGCTATGTTGGGAGTTTATGGAGGATGCTTAAAAATCTCTTATTTGAAATATTTAAGTAATGTTTCTTGTATGGATGGTACAATGTACAGTACTTAAGCATTGTAATGCAAAAAAACCTCAGGAAGCGTCATTAGCACTTATCAGCTCTGAATTTATCAGCATACCTTCTTTAGTGTTTCATTACAGGAGTCAGCATTGATAGTTGTTCTTTTTGATGAATTTCAAAGGAATGACTTTAATCCCAAAAACCATAACCATGATTTTTGTTGCTATCAACTGTTTGGATAAGAATGAAAAATACAACCTTCTTAGATATCTGGTACAAAACCTTAACTAAACTAATATTTCTGTGCTAATTTATAGCTTATCATTAGGTTTAAAACTTGCTTTAAAATCTTGTTTTTCATTCTTTATGTATATCCAGTTTGCAGTTTTTCATTAACCTGTTAGAACTTTTTGGTTTTTGGGGACTAAGTATGTTAGGTTTACCTTTTTTCTTCTGACGTGGAAATTATGTATCATCATCATTTACAATATGGTTAAGAAACTCATTGCCATCTTTCTGATAATACATTAAAAAGATCAATGCAGCTACCATGTTTTTTTTCTTTGTGGATATTTGACATCATCATTTAGAGTAAAGCTTCTTGAAATTGAGATGCTCCATAATAACTTTATGAATCAAAGTTTGAATATAACTATTATTAGAAATTGTTAATAGCTGTTTTCTGGAATTTCTTTGTTCATTTTCTTGACCATTTGTCATGTCTTTCTGTAAAAACTGATATTTCTTCACATTCTCTTTGTTAATTTTATCTTCTCTATACACTTCAAAAATTTTTCTTTGAATTTTCACTATATAAACATTTTTATTATTTAAAAATAGTATCACTGAATTTCACAAGATAGGGATTTTCAGTTTTCCTACTTATCCTGAATAACTATAGTGAATTGGCAGAAACATTTATAAAATTGCATTACATAATATGCATATTTTTGTTTTTTTAGTTAAGATAATTAGTCTGTTGTGTTAATTTATGAAAACACTTTTAATAAAATATGTACTTTGAATGTTTTTGACATTTACAGTGTCTTTGTTAACTAATTAATGTAACAGACTAATTAACACAAACTGACTAACTGCTTTAACTAGTTTTGTGCATAATAGTATATGCCATGATTATTTGAAATATACATTTTACTTGATACATAAAAACAACACTTTCATTGTGTGTGTGATTGGTTTTTATTTTCTGGTTCAATCTTTTAAATGTAGTGAATTTATTTGATGAATAAGAATGTGATCATTACATAAGAGTTTTATTACAGAAAGAATATAAACAAATTAGACAAGATTTAGAGAGAAGAGATAGCTATTTCCTTTGTTATGAGAAATATATTTATTTACTCAACTAATGATTTTACTAGACTTAGGATATTATTTATTTTATAATACAGGATTAGATTTCAAAAGTCAATATTTACTGAAATTTAAACAATTCAAGAATCTTGGTTCTCACCTAAGTAGAAAACTAAGATTCTTTGAAATTATTTTTTTAGTATTTATTGATTTCTACAAACTCTATTAACGTTGACTTTTCTAAATATATAATTAAAAGAATTAAAAATTACAGTGCTTATCAAGTAAGCATGTAAAAACATTATGAAACACTACATAATGAAAATTTTTCATTGCTCTATTTCAGATCTGATGATGAGTATGAAGATAAAGTTAAATTTCAGATAGGTCTAGATAATAAGGTAGGTTCAGAGGATGCAGCATTAAAGAAGAAAATGATAGATATTGGAAAAGAAGCTGCTATGGAAGCAGAAGTTCAAGCTGCTAAGGAAAGAGCTACTATTCCTTTGGAAATACGAATGAAACAATTTCGAGACATGTTAGCCGAAAAAGAAGTAAGTTTATTTAAACTATAGTAATTCATTTTAAAAATGGTAGTGATAGATTTAAAATTTAAAAATATATAAATATATATCAAGTTTTAAAACAAACAATAAGTTGATATTTATTTAAATATGTTTTTTTGTTAGATTTTACTGTTTTTATTTTTACTAAAGCTCTGTTAATATGTATTGGTAAATAGAAATTGTTTTGTATTATAAATTAAAAAAAAAATTATATATATATATAATTT